CAGCAGCTCGGCCGCGCCTCGCAGCGTGAGAACAGCGTTTTGCTGCGCAGTCTCGGCTTTGGGGGGGCCGCTGGGGAGGGGGGGGGGGGGGGGGGGGGCTGCTGCAAAAACCGCTGCCTCTCCCAAACACCTACCGAAGCGTTGCTCAGCTTCAAAAAGCCAACTGTTTAAATAGCATTAGGGCAATGATTTAAAGTCACAAAAGCCATGAAATTCAGAGTTAAGGCTAAAAAAATCCACTTGACACCCTGGCCTTAAGTTGTAAAAGGCATGAGCCAACGGCAGCGGCTTGACCGAGCGCTCGGCTCCTGGGCCATGGCTCTCGGGATCGCCCGGCTGCCCGATGATGGGGTGCGAGGCAGAGCCCTTAATGAGATTTAAACGAGCTGATGAGGTTCGGGGATGGCGTTCGGAGGAGCTCTGGGATGCTCGTCCCAAGCTGGGCGGCTGGAGGGGACTTTGCCGAGTGAGACGTGGCTGTGGTCCCACCTGGACGGTCACTGGGGGTTTGGAGCCCTTCCCTGGAGTCAGGGTGGGGCCGCTCCTTTCCTCCCTGCTGGGGGTTGGGGGGTTTTTGGAGCTGAACGGGGGTCCCGTGTGCCCTCCCAGTGTGCAGCAAGGTGCTTTGCAGCAACCTGGGTGATACTGGATTAGGCACCAGTTCGATCGTTCCTGCCTCATCCTCGTGCAAGGGGATCATCTTAGTTTTAGCAGAGATTACGAAGCTGGGGGTGCTTTTATTTTGTTTTTTCTCTCTGGGACGAGCGTGCTGTGAGACGTGCAGCCAAAAGGCTGATTTGGGGGGCTCTGCAGTCCGAGTCTGTGCCCAAAGGCAGAGCTGTGGCAGCCTGCCTGCCCTGGGTTGTCTGCTAAAGAGGGCAGCGGGGAGGTATTTTGCTAAGAAATAATCGATACACCCAAGGGCTGGCTGGCATTGGGTGCAGCGGCCTGGAGGAGAGCGCCTGCAGTCGGGTCCCAGAGCCGCAGAGCGCTGCGAGGGCGAACAGCAAGAGCCTGCTCGGGCGCAGACACGGCCGTTCGGGGAGTGCCTCCCTGGCCCCGGTTTGTCTTAGCATGTTGCGTGCGCCAAAGGTACCGAACGCGTGCTCGATCTAGTGCTTTATTTGGCAACGATTTGAAGAAAAAAACCATAAAAGAACACAAAGGGTTTTGTAATTTCTTTTGTTGCAAATTTTTCTCAGTTAAACCAGGATTCACAGGTATTAATGTGACTCGTTCATGACCCCGCCTGCTAAATACCAGCCCAGGCACGATCGATCCTTGATGCTGATTCCGACAGCCCTGGCAGGGTTAGCCACTCCATCTGCAAATCCTGATAACTGAACAGTTGTTAATTGTGGGTCTTACCAGATCCCTTTCCTTGTTTGCATTGCAGGACCCGGCCGGCGAGACCTTGCGGAGGGTGAGGCAGAGCCTGCGCAGGTCACAGCGACTGCGGACCGCGACGGTCAGAACTAATTAAACTTCTGGACTCAGCAGCTTGCAGGGCCTCGGCGACGGGCCCCCACCAGAGAGCAGCTCCCGGGATGGGAGGCAGAGCACAGCACGCTGGGAACTGCCCCTTGCTCTCATTAGCTCAGCCCTGTTGCTGTCCCAGCAAAGCCTATTAATATTTAATTCCTTCTCGGAGAGGGGTGAGGGATGCTGCAGCCACCTAAGCAGCTTGTGCAGGAGCCTTCCTATTATTGAAACATCCCTTAAAATCCTTCCTCTTCCCTCCAGCAGCCGTCCGAGGGTCGGAGCGGTGGAAGCAGCCGACAACCAGCGACGGGGAGCAGTGGGGGTAGCCCGGCCTCGCCCCCAGCAATGGAAGGAGGGGACCCAGTGGGGTGCTGCTGCTCAGCTGCCCGTCTCTGAGCACACCCCAGGCCATCACAAGGTGAGGGGTGGGTAACCCCGGCCCTTGGCTTCATGGGGGGGTGAAAGAAGGAGCCTCAACCTATTTCCAAGCAGCACTGCACTCGCAGCCGCCCTCTCCTGGCACAACGCGCCTTCAGCCAAGATCTCTTCCTAAACAGCATTTAGTGGTGTGCGAGGCTTTGCTCTTGCTTGGGGAGGGGGAGAAAATACAGCTCAGGGCTCCCACCGCGTTAATCTGTGGCTTAAAACAAGCCCGGCTTCCCACACCTCCCGGGGAGGCTGGAACCGGCAGCCCTCAGCGCCCGGCTCACGCTCTGCCGGGGCGAAGGAGGGCCTGGGGACAGCGGAGGGGAGGGCATC